GTTTGCCTGAATAAATGGCCATGACCTTCTGCTTTAAGGTGGTCGTGGGGTTACTTGCAGTCAGCGTTAGGGTGTTATCAGAATATAACCAATTATGGTAATGAAACAAGGTAATGTAATGTAAAGCAACATCACTATGTACGATACAATTTTGGGTCTTTTGGGGCACATGAACTGTTGTAACCCAGGAGATCGACCAAACTCAGACGCCGAGATGGGGTTTAACAAAAGGAGTTTATTGAGCTAAGTCCGCAGGCACCTGCAGTATGTCCCACACAGGAGTAACTGTGGCCTCGGAGAGCTAAAATGGCTCCTTTTTATAGGATTTTGTAAGGGGGGTGCTACGTGTAAGTGAGCATGTTACAGAAGCGGAATTTAGCAGTTAATTAATTACCTGTTACTCAGTTTCCCAGACATCTCAAAGGTCAAGATGTTTTCAATAGATTATCCCTGGCGCCGACCCCAGGATTACTCAAGGGTTAGTTATTACCCCAGGGTTAGCGATTACTTAGGGATTAGTTAGTGAAGAATGTTCTTTAGTAAATGAGTAAACTGACAACCCCTTTGGTTGTCGTGAAGGCCTCTGGGAGTTTAGGTCAATGGCACTGAGTTATAACAGAACCATGGTTTCCAAAGTTTTATACTGAGCCAGAACCCTTGCAGGGTCTTCAACCTGAGCACTATTGACCTTTCTGCTAGAACATCCCTTGCTCTGTGGCCTGTCCTTTGTGTGCATTGTTGGATATTTAGCAGCGTCCTCATCTCTATTCACTAGATGCCCCAGTTGTGACAACCAAAATTATTTTCAGGTATCACCAAATGTCTCCTGGAGGGAGAGATGGACCCCTGTTGAGAAGCACTGGCCTGTGGGATCTGAGCCCCACCCAGTTACCCTCTTCCCCCATGTCCCTGCCATTTGCTCTACTGCAGCCACACTGGCCTTCTGGCCTTTTTGGGCTGGATGAGGCTCCCTCGGGATGTCTTGTCACTGACCATCCCTTTACCTAGAATATCTTCCCTGGAAGTCCTCCGTGGTGAACCCGTCACCTCCGTCAAGTCTTCCCCCCATGACCACCTTCTCAGCACCCATAACCCCCAGCACTTCTCCCTCCCCCTGCTTTACTTTCCCAACAGCACCTGTCACCTAACTCATTACCGTATTTACTCGTTCATTTTGTTTATGGTCAGTCCGCGCCGCTGAAGAGAATCTGCATGGGAGACTCTTGTCGACTTTGTGTTCCAGCTCCTACAGCAGGGCCTGGCGCATAGTAAGTGCTCACTTTGTTGAGTGGGTGAACTTATGAATGCAGGGACGACGACACTTTTTTAACCTAGAACCTTACAAAGGAAGCTTTTTAGCCCAACCTGAAAATGTCTCATTAACGTACAAAAGGAATGTTTGACTTCAAGCTCTTGAGGAAAATTGAGATTCTGCATTGGGTTTTCAAGATCATCTCTGAGAGTCACTTTTCATTGTACTTGAGATAGACTTTTACATATAAATATACAATAATTTTGCAAGGAAGTATCGTTCTGTAATTTAGCTAGGCTACTAATTTTTTTTTTTATCCTCAACTGAGGACATTTTTTGCATTTATCTTCAGATAGAACAGGAGGGAGAGAGGGAAGAAGAGAGAGAGAGAAGCATCCATTTGAGAAAGACGCATCGACTGGTTGCCACCCACACTACCCTAACCGGGGCCGGGGACAAACCGCAACCGAGGTACGTGCCCTTAGCGGGAACTGAACCCGGGACTCTCTGATTCACAGGTCGACGCTCTAACTGCTGAGCCAAACCGGCCAGGGCTAAGCTACTAATTTTAAGTAAATTTGTTTTGTCTCTTATGCTGGTCAAGTTAATTAGACCTTAATTAGTGATGTCATCATAATCAGTGGGTTAAATATCTCCAGGATGGCCTACAGTTTACAACTTTCAATGATCAAACAGTTTTCCACGACAGATATACTAAAAACATAGTTTCCTAATAAATATTCATGGCCTCTTGCAAGTCAGCAGCCTCAAAACTATTAAAAGAAACCTTTTAATATTTATAGGAAAGTTCCTTATTGTGAGGAAATAGACTTAGGAAGAAATCTATCTTTATGAGTGACGATACTGAATACACAAAGATTTAACTAAAGTTTTATGGTCATGGGCATGTAAACATTTTTTTCATCTTCTGCCTCATTCAATTCAAAATTTAAGAATTAATTCAATGTTTACTTGGTCAAAAGCAATTGTTTCAACAGTTTCTTAAAGTTATTTTTTGAGGTTCCTCCTTAAAACAACATAAAACAAAATATATGGCTTTTGTTTTACCTTTAAATTCAGTCAAAACGAAATAGAAGATATTTGATTTGTGGCTTTTAATAATTTACTTTCATAAGCAACATAGTTTCCATGAAGCTCACCAGATAAATTATATGGAAACTGTATCCCCCAAATAACCAAAGAAATTTATCTGCAATATGGGACATCTGGATACGAACCAAGTAAATTTTAGAGGTCAGCTGCCAAAAATAACGACCCATAGTAATTTATTATGATGCTGAGGCCCGCTTTGGAATTGCACGCGTTGGGTGTGCCAGTGTTTACATTTCAGAGGTGGTCACAAATCTCCGGACACATTCCTTGCAAATAGCAAAGCTCTCCTCTGTTGCGCGTTTTTTGCGAGGACAGATTTTCCTTGGAAGACAGTTCTAGAAAAGCAGTTTCCTATTTAAAAGGCTCCCTTTCTAACAGCCCTTGATGTAGCTTCTCCCAGCTTTCAACGACACAGTCTATACAAACACACACAAGAGGAAAACACTCACAGTGTCATGGGAAATCAGGCAGGAAGCCAACTATTGTTGGAAGCAGAGGGTGTCTCCACTGGCCACCGAGAGGTGTGAGAGAGGACAGGAACCAAAGGCAGACATTTAGCTTTCCCCCCAGCTCTTCAGGTTTCTAAAGTATAATTGGAGAATATGTTCTTCAACTACAGAAGACTTGACTATGCAGAGTAAGGATCTGGCATACTCCCATCACCCAAACGCATTCAGTTAACAAAAGAGACACACCTCTATAAAATCTGGCAGTTTCGGGCAAATTTTTGACTGGGGGTCCTGTTGGTCGGTGGCTCAGGTCAGGAGAACATGCACTCCTGGTGTAGTCACGGTGGCGGGGGCCATCCTCTTACGGTGTAAAATGTGACCTCACCACGCAGGGGACAGTGTTTCTTGGAAAAGGAGCCTTTGGGGACAGAGCCAGTTAGGTGGAAGGCCTTCGGAGCATGACTGCATGGAGATCCGATCTTGCTAACGACCTCTGTGGGTGGCCCTCCCAGGACTGTATGTTTGAGTCAGCACGTGAAAATTGAGACATTCAACTCACATATGTATAGGTTTAAGATATTTAGAAAGGATAATTTGTAACTTACAAAATGATCTCAAAATGATCTGTTTTATATAAGCTAAAATGGCATTTGATACAATCCAGTAATTATTCCAGCATTCTCCTTAGTGGTAAATTCTGCAAATCTCCCTTTGAAATCAGAATTATTCTCAAAGAGCCGCCAATGTAACCACGAGGACTGGAGAAGGGAACGCAGCGTGGTCCTTATTTGCAACTGGTATGCACCTTGGGGGGGGGGGCAGTTATCTAGAAAATGCAAGTAAGTCAATTAAAATCTCTCTGACCTGTAACGAGAGCTCAGGGTGATGATTGGTAATGCAACGCTAGCATTTCCCATGCCATTAATAATCACCATCCAGGGTGGTGGGTATTACAAGAAAGGGACGAGGAAACTGTCTCATTCACAAGAGCCACGAAGAAATCTAAACATGCAGCAACAGATGGATCAAGAAATGGACAAGAAGTATGGAGCTTGATCGGAGGCGAGAGGAAATCAAGAATGGACAAGGCTGCTTTCTCTTTAGGAGGAAAGGCGGAGCTCTGTGGGGCTTGGGTGGGGAGGCACTGGGTGGGGATCCTGGGTTAGCAACCCCTGGAGAAGAGGGCGGAGTCTCTAAGGTCAGGGCTGGAGGCTGAGAATCTGGAGAGGGAGGGAGGAGAGGCAGTGGGCGGGGCTTTGAAGAACACAGGTGTGAATACCTGCCGGCAGACCTGTGGGGCTTGGGGAGAGCTGGGAAAGGTGCCTTGTCTGCTTTGTTTCAGTTTCCGTCAGCAGGAAGATTTGCTTATGCAACTCTCCTGTGCTTCCTTTCTTCCCCTCTTCCTGAAAATCCTCAGTAACCGTCTGCTTTGCTGCGTGAGACTGTGGAGCGAGAGTTGCATTTCTTGTAGACGTGTCACCACCTGAAGGTGGGAAGGAGAGAGAAGGAAGCCTCTGTGTTATTTGGACTTGACAACTGTTTCGGAAATGAACCTTCCGAATTCTGTCCTCTGGGTCTGAGTTACAGTCTTTTAATAAGAGAATATTAATATCATAAACCTAAAAGAAAACAGGTGACTTGAGTTCCAGTCCTTTTATTTTCCCTTGCTCTCGGGTCACCTGCCTGGCTATAGATCGAGGCCAGCTTACAGGCTGGTTCGGTAAGTTCAGTGCTCCGAAGGGTGGTCCGAGCAGGACCGTTAACGATGCTTCAGTCCCAAGTGCTGTCTATGCCGCAGGATTTCAGTTGGTGGGAGCGACATCTAGTTTGATGACTGGCACAATATATCTGCTGTAGCAAAATCGCTGTTCAGGTCAATAGAACTTTTTTCCTTTGCTTAAAATAAAGTTATTCTTTCCATTTCTATTTTAGGAAGATTGAAAATGGCCGAAATAAATGAGTAAAGAATCATAAAAATAAACGTTTGACATTCAGCTATAAAGAAACACATACCATTTCTTAGAGAGCTCTGATTCTAATCAGATCACAGTCTAAATGATATGATTGGAAATACTCAGTGTTGGTCTCATTGTACAAAGAAGGGGCGCTTTTGAATTTTGAGTTTCCCAGCCAAAGCATACCTTTTAGAGGACTCGAGTAACATACACTGTACCTTTGTGTTTTAGGCGACGTTTTCCTGTGACTGTGATGATCAGTATGTGGGTTCTTTCTGCGAAGAATTCGACGCCTGCCAGAAGGCACCCTGCCAGAACAATGCCAGCTGTGTGGATGCCCAGGAGAAGCAAGATGGGAGCAACTTCACCTGCGTCTGCCTTGCGGGTACGCTTTCCGGAGCTCGCCAGCGCCGTCCATCACCCCGTAGATTGCACCCTTCGTAGTGAGCCGTGGCTGAGCGATACTTTGCTCGGGGTGGGACAAGGGGACTTCACGGGTCCATTTGATGCCACCAGTCTGTGCTTTATACAATCAGGGAGTAGAAGAAGGAAGTTCCCATGGGGACGGGCACCCTGTGCCTTGGCTGGCTTTTTGACATTTCCTTTTTAGTGTGCCACCTTTTTGTTCTGGGATAATGATGTTCTGGATCAAAGAGAGGCCTGGAAGTTTTCAAAACAATTCTACAAAATAGGTACTGAGTGCGGGCTGGCGCTGGGCTCGGTGATTATGCTAAATAACTAGAAAAATCCAGGAGAAATATAACCCAGGTTGTTATATAAAGCCACCCAATCTTTCTGTTTCCGTTAATTTCCTGTTGTTCGTGTATGTTCATGAGCCCAAGTTCTTGATATACTTTCCCCACAATGAGGCAAGGCTTTAATATTCCTTGATGAGCACGGGGGACTCATAGATATTAGGTGAGACTTTCAAATCCTCGCAGCACAATGAGCGACCCTTAGAAGACCGCAGCGGATGGTGAGCCCGCAGACTTCTTTCTCTGCCAATCATCTTGAAACAGCTGTTTTGATGCAGCTTAAAATCAGGCACTAAATGACCCCCTTTTTATATCAAACAATGTGACATCATCCTTCAAAACTGACATCATCTTTGCCTTTTCCATCTCATTCAGTTGCCAACTCCTGCCACTGGGTGAGGATTCAGGATGAGGTGGGGGTCGGGGGTGGAGAGAGGGATGGGATAGAGTGGGATTTGGGGGATTAGATGTTCATTGTAAGGAACAAGATCTAACAATGCAGAAGTTTATGAATGAAAAAGTGAAAGTCCTTTATTTATCTATTCATCCGAACTTAATCATATCATAGGGGTAGGTTAATAATTTGGTATATTCTTTCCAGACCTGTGTGTGTGTGTTTCTATATGTATAACAAGTGATCATAGTATACACATCGTCTATAATGTGATTTTTCTGTAGATCATAGACATTCTTCCAGGTCAGTACACACGGAGCCACCCCATTCCTTTTAACAAGTTCGTAGTTTATCTCCTAACTTTGTATCTCCAGGTCAGAGTCCCCTCCAAACCCATTTATCTACCCCCCCAACCCAGTTCTTCCTCATGCTCTAGAACAATCAGAGGTAGGAGAGATTTGGGACAGGTTACCCTGGGACCCGAACTCTGTTCGTTCACCGCCTTCAGACTTGTCCTGCGGTTCTTGTAAGCTGGTTTCTCCTTTGTCAGTTCCTGTTTCCTGTAGGAACAGCCTCTCCTCCCCCTTCTAGCTCTGCCCCTCGATAAGCTTTCCACTGTAGTACACACACACACACACACACACACACACACACACACACAGCTAATGTTACTGAGTGTTTACTGCACCCCAGGGCTGTGCTCAGTGCCTTCTTAGCTTGTTCTTAGAACAATCTCCAACTTAAAACCATGCTTTTTTTAAATCATCACCCGAGGATATTTTCCCATTTATCTTCAGATAGAGTGGGAGGGAGAGAGAGAAACATCAATGTGAGAGAGACACATCGATTGATTTCCTCCTGCACAACCCCGACTAGGGCCGGGAACCAAAGTGCAACCGAGGTATGTGCCCTCGACCAGAATTGAACTTGTGACTCTTTGGTCTGTGGGCTGATGCTCCAACCACTGAGCCAAACTGGCCAGGGGTTAAAAGCATTCTTTTTTTTTTTATCCTCACCTGAGAGCAGTTTTTCCATTTTTGTTCAGATAGAGTGGGAGGGAGGGAGGGAGAGAGGGAGAGAGAGAGAGAGAGAGAGAGAGAGAGAGAGAGAGAGAGAGAGAGAGAAACATCGACGTGAAAGGGACACATCGAGTGGCTGCCTCCTGCACAACCCAACCAAGGCCGGGGACAAACTGCAACCGAGGTACGCGCCCTCAGAGGGAACCAAACCTGGGTCTCTCTGGGCCGCAGGTCGGCGTTCTTAATTACACTGATTTCATAAATAAGAAAACTGAGGCACAGGGAACTTTGTAACTCGGCCACGCTCACTGTCCTGCAGTAACAGTCAGTCTCCACGTCTCAGTGGCTTCTAAGAGAAGGTTAATTCTGCTGTGTCGTTTCCGATGAAGGCAATTGCTCTCCAGGTGGTCACTCAGGGATCTGGAGGGTCTCATGTGATGTTCCGAGAGCAGTGCCTGGAGGTGTCTTACATCACTTCTGACACATGTCATTAGCCAGAATTTGGTCAGTTAGTCCCTAGAGGATCTGCCTGGGAGGAGGCGAGCATCTCCTGGTCTGCACCATGCTGAGCACACATGGTAACTGTGAGGTCTGGTACCTGAACCCAGGTGTCCTGCTTGCCTCCAAACGCATGTTCTCGGCCATCTCGCCATACCCGCTGCATGTGCGCCACACTGTGCGGAGTACTCCCTGCTACAACACGTGATTCAAGCCCGTGTCTCTCACCTTCCTGATCTTAAAAAGGTCTCTTCTTAAAAGAAGAAATATTAGGCAGTTTTATCCAAGAAAAGGGATTCGTTTTGGAAATGAGAAGTTTCATACTAAATTTAGTTCTGAATGTCCTTGAAAAACTTGCTTTCCACAGGAAAACTACCTTTCCTTCATGGAAGAATTAACTGTTTACAGGCTAATTAACATCGACTAATTGATCTCCGAAGCTCCAGGTATATACAGAAGGACTCACACGCGGTGGGAAGCGTGTTTTCCTTTTGAAAATGTATCCTGCTGTGCTCTGATTGTTGCAAGTTGATCATGAGAAATTACCTTGTTTGATGAATGAATGAATTCAAACCAAAGCACAAAAAATCCCCAAGAAAGCCTTTTCACGGAGAGGTAGTCTTGACTTAATGCTCATTTCTCTTGAGAGGAGAACATTTCTTGGTAGGTGAAAATAGTATTTTCAGCCAAGAAGCTTCAGCTCCAAATTTGCTAATATTTTGATATTTTGCTTTAATTCCTACATCAAGTGCCGTCCAGATAGAAGCTGAGTCGTGGGCAATCTGTGAATGAATACGGTGGATTGGATGTTGAGCTGGTTAAGTAACAAACTGTTACATTTTTTCATTTTTAATATGATTCTTGGATAGCAGGAGATAGTTTTTAAAATAGCAAAACATTGATTAATGTCATGTTAATGTGCATGCAATACAGCATGAATAGTAGAATATGGTGGGTAAAATTTCTGTTTTGAGGAGGAAGTTTTTAGCAGATGTGATTGATTTTTTAAAAAAAATTCTTGCAAAAAGGCGGGGATTGCCGATAGTCTCAGCACTGCGGGAGGACCTAAGAGGCAGTGATTGGCTTTGTCAACAGGGGTTGTCCAAGCCAGTGGCAGCTTCCTGTTTGCGTGGGTCTGATGAGGGCTCCGTGTGCCGTGAGGTCTCTCTGAAAGACTACATGCAGGGCCGCAGCGAGGGAGGACAGCTTGGGTTCTCACACACCCTGAAGGGCAGCACCATGCTTGGAGATAGTCACTGCCGGTCAGCGTTCCCCAGGGACACTGGGTGGCAGGGACCGAGTGCATAGGATCTGGGCAGGATGGGCGAATGAATGAACAGCAGCTGCAGACCGCTCTGAAGACAATGGAGTAGCGATGTTAACGTGAGGAACAGAAGCAGAAAGGTCCCTTTTGTTTAATTTATTTTATATTTCATTTTGTTTAAATTATTATTTTTTTAAATTAAAAAAATAGATTATTATTTTTAAACGAGAGCATGTTGTTTAAGAGCACAGGCTCCAGCGTCAGAATGCCCAGACGGCAATCGTAAATCCCACACGATTAGACCCGAAGTGTGGGTGTTGCCCATCACTACAAGAGCAAGCTTCCTGGAGGCCCTCCCTGTGTGTTGCCTGGGGTGTCATGTGCCCTACGTGCCAGAGGCAGGGGACCCCGTGCATCTGCCCTAGAGTCAGGACCACTTGACCACCACCCCCGGAGCTAGTGGTCCAAATCCTGCTTCAATCCCTACCATTTTCTCGCTGGGCTCCTTGGGCAACCTCTACAACCTCTCTGGGCCTGCGTCTTCCCCTCTGCAAGGAGATCACAACCACCCTCGCCGGGGCTGGTTATGAGTATCACCGGGAACGTAAGCTTGCGGGCTGTTCTGTGGACGTGTCTCCAGTACCTAGCCTGGTACATAGAAGGTACCCAGTGCAGATCTGCTGAATGAATGAGTGAGTGAATGAGTGAGTGAATGAATGAATGACTACAATGAGATGAAATTCCATACCAATCATACTGTAGAGGCTCGATTCCCTTGCCTGTCCTCCCTCTGCCCTCTCTCCCCGGCTCCTCACCATGGCTCATGCGTTTTGTGCCGCCTATGCCAGATTGTGGCCGTCCTGAGGGTGGCGACATCAAATTGTATTGCTCCCTGTCATTGCCAAGCCCACAATGCACACACACAATGAATGATTAAGTTGAAAGTTCGCTTTTTAGATCAGGCTTCATTTTCATAAAAACCTTCAAATGTCAAGAGTATGATTTTTCCTCAAAGGAGCTATTTCTTTTCTGGAGAAGAACAGCCGTGATGCGCGTTCAGAGCCGCCTCCGCCACAATGTCATTAGCGCCGGGACGGCGCCTGTCAGCTCCAGGGCACCTCGCTGTTCAGCTAACCGGAGATTTCAGCCTATTTTCCAAACCTCTTATTTCTGAGGCCAATGGAACCATGAGTGTCCCGTCCAGCTTCACGCCTTTAAACATGCTCAGGTGGCCTCCGGTGTCTTTGAGTTGAGTTGGACACTGTCGCCTCCTCCTGGACCCAAATCCTGAGCAGCTCCGCTGTGAGGGCGCCCACCAGCCCCCTCGCTCACGAAGTGAGCCCTTAGCAGGCCCTGAGTGCGCTTTCGAAAGTGGGTTCGGCCAGGGTTTCAGGGACCAGCCTCTGTATGCGGAGTGTGCGAAGCAACAGCGACTCCATGAGGCTGAAGGACTTG